GCTCAAGCGATCCTTCTGCCCTCAGCCTTCCAAGTAGCTGGGACTACAGCAGCACCACCATGCCCAGCTAATTTTTTTGTATATATTTTTAGTTGCCAATTAATTTCTTTCTATTTATAGTAGAGACGGGTCTCGCTCTTGCTCAGGCTGGTTTCAAAGTCCTGACCTCCGAGCAATCCGCCCGCCTCGGCCTCCCAGAGTGCTAGGATTACAGGTGTGAGCCACTGCGCCTGGCCTAGAGTTATTTTTATAGAAGTGGTAGTAGAAGTTTAAATATGCTTGTTCAGGTTTACACATTTTGTTATTGTTAAATTTAGGATGACTCGCAGTTTGGAACCACTGGCAAAGATGATCTTTACAGGAGTTTTAGTAACTCAACTTGGAGCATATTTTGTGTTGGCTAAGATGAACACAAGCCAAGGTAATCATAAATCAGAAGCATAATTAATGCTTATAGAGGGGTATAGAGTTTGCTAATGCATTTTAGGTTCAAATAATAATGGCATTTTGAGAGAAATGCTTCTCAGATTAATGTATAGATATATTATGGCCAGAAGGAAATCAAAGTATTTTTATAGTATAGATGATTCTCACTTCTCCTTTAAAATGATTGCTTGTAGAGTAGAGGAAATGTTTGACACTTCCATGGGTTTCTAGTGAGTAAGGGTAGAGGAAGTCCTTGTTAGTTTGGAACACAGATAGAGGAAACCTAGCTGCCCATTATGCTTCATTGGTAGATGGAGAAAGTTAAGAGTGCATTGCTGTTTTCTCTGGGTAACCAGTTTTCTCAGGCTAGGGTATCTGTGCATCAATAGGGACACAAAAGGACTTCCATGCTATCATGAAAGTGGTTGACATTTTGTTTGGGGTGAAATTTATATTAGAGCCCTCACCTTTTTTTTTTTTTGAGATAGAGTCTCACTTTTTGTGCCAGCTGGAGTGCATGGTCATCATAGCTTACTGCAGACCTCAAACTCTGTGCTTAAGGCATCTCTTGCCTCACTCTCAGGTGCTGGGACGACAGGCACGCACTACCATGCCTGCTAATTTTGCTACTTTTTGTTAGAGATGCCGTTCAGCTCTCTGGAATCCTGAACCTCGAAGGTTCCTCTGCTTTGTATCCTCGAGGTCTAGGATTACAGAGCGTGAGACACTGTGCCCAGCACAATAACTGTTTTCAATAGAAGTGCTTTTTCTAAAAAAGCAGGGAGTAATCATGGGGTGGTGGCATCTTTGAACTGTCCTTCCTCAAGTATTAACTGGAACCCTGTATCCAGATGCTTGGGAGTAGTTGGAGGAACTCTCTAAACTTTGGCTGTGTGTGGTGGCTCAGGTGTAAATTCTAATACTTTGGGTAAAAAAAACCTCCTAAAACCAGAAATAATCTCTATATTATTTATAGTCTAAGGTATAAAGAAAGGCATTCCAAACAGATATTTAAAGCAAAATTAAGTTTGGGACAGTTTTGAAAACTGGGTATGATCTTATTTTATTCCTTATTAAGGGTAAAAAGTATTCCATAAAAACAATTCAAAGTTGCATAAGGGCATTATTATTGACACTGAAAGATTTGCTTTAAATACCATTTAATTTTTAAATTACATAATATACAGGCAATTTAAATTCTAAGATACTATTAAGCAGCTACATGTTAAGGTTAATTAGATCTATCCAAAAATTAGTCCAGATACCAGAAGGACTTAAACAGATTCTAGATGTATATGATTCTCATTATGTGAACTAAGGTCGATTAAATTTGTGGCTCTATGTGTTAATTTTATGAATTCTGATCATGATCTAATTTAAGATCTTCCTTTTGTTTCATCAGGATTTCAGGCAAACAATGATGCAAGAATTTCCCGTTCTATCTTGGACGGTATGTTTTTCTTAAGTAAAAATGAGAGTATAAAACACCTTTTTCACGATAACCTTTAATTTAGTAGTCGTCTTACATGATTAAGACTAAATGGCTTCATTTAAATGGTTCATTCAACAATCTATTCACTGTCTATTTCTATATTTCTTGCTGAGAAGTTTCTTCTAGAGTTATCTAGAATTACCTAGCATGCGAGATAGCTAATGGACTACCTCTTAATTTTCCAGTAGTTAAAAACATAGACTTTGGAATGGCATATCTAATGGGTTTAAATCTCCTTTTAATCTCAGGTGTATTTCTCGAGTATTTCTTTCAAGTAGGGTAATCGTTCTCATGGGAGTATGTATAAGCTGAACAATAACGTATATACTACTTAGCACAGTGTCTGGTATAAAGTAACAATAAAAATGTTTATTACAGATGTATAGTGAGGTGTGTGAGCTTTATACATAAATTGTAATCCTATTGTCCCCTTTTTAATTTATTATGTAACAATATGGAAAAAAAGTTTTCTTATGCAATTTTAACTTTTTACATGACTTTATAAGTGACAGTATTTTTATTTTAGTTTATTACATGATCCATTGAACAGTTTGGATGTATGGAATCAGAATACAGATCAAGAAAATGTGAACCCAAGGCAAAATTGAAGTAGATTTGAATGTATATTTAATTAATAAACTCTTCCTTTGCTTTTACTTTTATGAGTGGTTTTCAGCCTCTTCTCCTGAATTTTTCTTTTTCTTGATGATACTTTTCACATCTTTGTTGTGTAGGCCAGTGCATCACGTTCAGCCCTCCCATTTAGCTGTTTGAGACCTTTAAGGAGGAGTAAGATGAGCTTACTGACGTACAGTGAAGCACTCTTGGCGGGTCACACAGGAACATGCCCTAGCTGGTCACAAAACTTCTGGCTGTGATGGCCTGATCTCTCTCTTTTTTTTTTTTTTTGGTGCTTTATTCAATCTTGTGTTTGGCTCATTGTGCCCCTCAGGTGTAGAGTTTGAAAACTAGGTAAGTAGGACATGTCTAAAACAAAAAGTATATAGTAACTTTGGGGTCTTAGTCCTACACTGATAAACTGTGGGAATGAATTCAAACTGTGGGAATGAACTAGAGTTATTTTTATGGAAGTGGTAGTAGAAGTTTAAATATGCTCATTCACATTTTGTTCTTGTTAAATTTAGGATGACTCGCAGTATGGAACCACTGGCAAAGAAGATCTTTAAAGGAGTTTTAGTAGCTGAAGTTATGGGCCTTCTTGGAGCATATTTTGTGTTTACTAAGATGAACACAAGCCAAGGTAATCATAATTCAGAAGCATAATTAATGCTTTATAGAGGGGTATAGAGTTTGCTAATGCATTTTAGGTACCAAATAATAATGGCATTTTGAGAGAAATTGCTTCTCCAGATTCAATGTATTAGATATTTTTATGGCCAGAAGGGAAATCAAAGTATTCATTATAGTACACTAGATGATTCTCACTTCTCTCTTAAAAAATGTTGCTTGTAGAGTAGAGGAAATGTTTGACACTTCCATGGGTTTTACTAGTGAGTAGGGTAGAGGAAGTGTCCTTGTCTTAGTTTGGGAACACAGATAGAGGAAACCTAGCCTGCCCATTATGCTTCATTGGTAGATGGAGAAAGTTAAGAAGTGGCATTGCTGTTTTCTCTGGGTAACCAGTTTTCTCAGGCTAGGGTATCTGTGCATCAATAGTGGACACAAAAGGACTTTCCCATGCTATCACTGAAAGTGCGTTGACATTTTGTTTGGGGTGAAATTTTATATTAGAGCCCTCAACTTTTTTCTTTTTTTTTTTGAGATAGAGTCTCACTTTTTGTGGCCCCAGCTGGAGTGCAGTGGCATCATCATAGCTTATTGCAACCTCAAACTCTTGTGCTTAAGCAATCCTCTTGCCTCAGCCTCTCAGGTAGCTGGGAAGACAGGCACGCACTACCATGCCTGTCTAATTTTGCTACTTTTTGTAGAGATGGCCGTTTCTCAGGCTCCTCTGGAACTCCTGAACTCAAGGGTTCCTCCTGCTTTGGTCTCCTCGAGGGCTAGGATTACAGGCGTGAGCCACTGTGCCCAGCCACAATCAACTTTTTAAATTAGAAAGTGCTTTTTCTCAAAAGCAGGGAGTAATCATGGGGTGGTGGCCATCTTTGAAACTTGTCACTTCCTCAAAGTACTTAACTGGAACCCTGTATCAGGATGCTATGGGATATTCACGAACTCTCTATACTTTGGCTGGGTGTGGTGGCTCAGGCCTGTAATCCTAATACTTTGGGGTAAAAAAAAAACCCTAAAAACCAGAAAAATCTCTATATTTTTATAGTCTAAGGATATAAAGAAAGCATCTCAACAGTATTTAAAGCAAATTAAAGTTTGGGATCAGTTTTGAACACTGGGTATGATCTTATTTCTAATTCCTTATTAGGGTAAAACAGTATCCATAAAAACAATTCATAAAGTTGCATAAGGGCATTAATTATTGACACTGAAAATTTGCTTTTAAATACCATTTAAAAATAAATTACATCATATATACAGGCCAAATTTTAAAAACTCTAAGATAACTATAAGGCAACTCTAAGATAAATATAAGGCAGCTACATGTTAAGGTAACTTAGATCCTATCCAAAAGAATATAGTTCCTGGATCACCAGAAGGACCTTAAAACAAATTTCTAATGTATATGATTCTCATTATATGAACCCTAAAGGTAGCATTAAATTGTGGCTCTATGTGTTAATGTAATGAATTTCTGATCATGTCTAATTTCAAGACTTCCTTTTTTTCATCAGATTTCAGGCAAACAATGAGCAAGAAATTTCCCTTCATCTTGGAAGGTATGTTTTTCCTTAAGTAAAAATGAGAGTATAAACCACCTTTTTCACATAACCTTTAAATTTAGTAGTGTCCTTACAATGAATTAAGAACTAAATGACTGGCCGGGCGGGGTGGCTCACGCCTGTAATCCTAGCATCTGTGGAAGGCTGAAGTGGCGGATTGCTCGAGGTGCAGGGATTCAAACCAGCCTGAGCAAGAGCAAGACCTTGTCCGTATCATAAATAGAGAAATTATTGGCTACTAATATATATATATAAAAATTAGCCAGGCATGGTGGCGCATGCCTGTAGTCCAGCTACCTCAGGAGGGCGAGGCAGTAAGGATGGCTTGAGCCAGGAGTTTGAGGTTGGTGAGAGCAGGCTGATGCCAATGGCATCACTCTCAGCCTGGGCAACAAAGTGAGACTCTGTCTCAAAAAAAAAAAAAAAAAGACTAAATGACTTCATTTTAAACACTTTCGTACCACTCACGAGTTTTCTTGTGTTTCTCGATCCATCTGTTAAGACCGCTCACGAGTTTCTCGTGTTTTGAGTGCGGTCTGTTATGGACTTAGCTGTCAACTGTTTTGTCCATTAAGGGAGTAGAGGTTTACTGCCAAATTGCAAATGTAAACATCAAGAATGAAGAACGGTGACACTAATATTTTCCAGAAAAGGGCGATATTCTTCTCCTAGCATGGAGAAACAAGGCGGTTGGTCGCATGATCTCAACCATCCATGACCCTTCTGTCTCGACACAGGAAAAAAAAAAATAGAAAAACGAGAGAGAATATTGTAAAACCTGCCTGCATCAAGGAATACAATGCCCCACATGAAAGCATTGACCGTGCGTATCAATTCGTGTTGTTCCATTCTAAGGAAAACACGATGAAATGGACCAAAAATAGTAGTGCTGTACCTTATAAATCGTGGACTTTTCAATTCTTTAGCATGTACAACGCCCTCAATCCACAAGCAAAATGAAGTATAAAGCAGTTCCTGGCGATCGGTTGGCGAGAAGACCTGGGATAATGGATGACAATAATGAAGGCTCTCCGGAAACCCAGAGAGCCAAATTTGTCGCCAGCCCTATCCCTGGGGGGTGCGAGGAAGCACCTCGTAAGAATCCCAAAAGGTGGTCAGGGGATATGAAGGCAGCCATGAACGCTACGTGTATCAGGGAGTGAAAGAAAATAATTTCCTACCGAAGCCTGGAGAGTTTGTGCCACCGCATGGAAAAAGGAGCGATCTATATATTAGTGAAATTTGTTTGGTCCCCACTTCAATAGAAAAATGTTAAGCAGTACATACCGTTAGAAATACTAGAATTTAATTTTAGTTGTTTTGTAAAAAAATGATTATAATTATATTGAAAACAACAACCTACAATGCATCAATGAAATCTGTAGTTAATGAATAATTTAACGTAATGTGCAAGGTTTGCCGCAAAACTGTGCGGTCCCTGGTGTAATCTTAGAGATTTCTTTATGCAGTACGAATGTGTTTAAATGTGTCATTTCCAACAATACTACCTTCAGCATCTATTTTTGATTTCTTCTGACGAGTATTCATCTCAAAGTATGCCGATGAGAAGGAGAAGATAGCTAAGGCATAGATTACTTTTTTTATTATGAGCAACAGAGTCCACTCTGTTGCCGGCACAGTGGCGTGGCATCAGCCTAGCTCACATCAACCCTCAGATGCACTGGGCTCAAGCCAATTCCTCGCCTTACGCCTCGACCGGAGTTGGCTGGGAACTACAAGGGCATGTGGCACCATGCCGGCTTGAATTTTTCTATACTATTAGTTTCCAAATTAAATTTCTATTTTTAGTAGAGGACACCGGTTTCACTCTTGTCAGGCCTGGTTCTCGAACTCCTGACTCAACACGATCCACACGCCTCACCCACCTTGGCGTCCCAGAGCTGCTTAGGATTACAGGTGTGAGCCACCACGTTAAGCCTTGGGCTTAGATTTTTAATTCTTTCAATAGTTAAAAACTTAACTTTGGAATGAGACATATCTCAATGGGCCCCTTTTAAAGAATCCTTTTAATCTGAAAGGTTGTGCTAATTTCTCCAGAGCCTATTTCTTTCTCAAGTAGAGATACATGGCTTAACTCCATGGGAAGTACTTTAAGGGCTGAACAAGATAACCTACTGTAGCTTACTTTAGCACAGTGTCTGGTATAAAAGTAACAATAAAATGTTCATTACAATGATAAAGTTAAGATGGTTGAGAAGCTTATGATATAAATATGTACATAACTTCGTTCCTTTTTTATATTATGTACATAAGGAAAAAAGTTTTTTCTTAAAACAAGTCTAACAACATTTTTAGCGTGACTCTTATAAAGTGACAACTATTTTTTAATTTAAGTTATTCAGATCGCATTGAACAGTCTGGAATGTTATGGAATCGAAATCACCAAGATCAGAACATGGTTGAACAGCCAAAATTGAGAGTAAGATTTTAATGTATCAATTTACATAACCATTTCCGTTTGGCTTTACTTTAATGAGTGGTTTTCAGCTCTCTTTCCTGAATTTTTCTTTTCTCTGATGATACTTTTTCAGCCGTTCTTTGTTCTGTGTACGCCAGTCATCACCGTTCAACCTCCCTCATTTTAAGCTGTTTTGAGAACCTTAGGCAGGAGAATAAAAAGATGACGCCTACCTACTACCAATGAAACTCTTGGCGCACACCGGAAAATCCTGCAAGTAACAAGAATTCTGGCGCTGTGATGGCGCTGCACTTTTCTCACCCAGTAAATGCAATCCACTGCTCTTTGTCGCTTTTCTTCTGTATTCTATTTGTGAGACTAATGTTAATAATAAAATGACTAAAGAACAGGAAAGAACAAAGCCTAAAGATTTTTCTTTCCTCTTTGATTTACTCTTTATTGGTGAAAGAATAGAAACGCATAACCATGAATCAGAAAATGTCTCTTTAAGTTATAGAAAATTACTTTAAGCAACTCACGCTACATAAAATAGCCTGCCTTCTAAAAGAAGGCTTAAATACTATCATTATTGTCTGTAGTCTTTTTGCTGTGGTCTATACTTTTAATTCTTCATGCTCTCCCTAAAGGGAGAAGAAAAAGCATTTGTTTCCAGGTTAGAACGTAACCAATAAAAAGGTCGCTTCCAAAACAGCCATATCTCGGATTTTAAAAGTCAGTCTATTTAAAAACGTCATAAAAATTAGTTGCTTACTTGCATTATCTTTGTGCCATTGGCATTCATGTTCAGTGTTATCAACTGGATTAAACATATTCAATCCAATAGGTGCAACTTAAAAAAAAAAAAAAAAGGGTAAATTCTTAAGGACTTTAAGTAATGTGGAATAGCTAACTCCATAAAGTAGTATATTAGCCTTTACTCTTCAGCGATACAAATAGGCTAAGTCATTTGTAATCTTTCTTTTTTTCTTGATCCTCTACAAAATTGTAATCGATTATATGATCTAAGTTTATTATAGAATTGATTTCTCACAACCCATGATTTATTAATATCTTGGGTAAAATACAACTGCCAGTTATTTCTAGGCCATTAGGGAGGCTTGGCAATTAATGAAAAATAATTTAAGAAGTTACAATGTGACCTGTACTGAGTTCCATGAGGATATAGTAATCTCTGAGGGAAAAGAAAAAGAAAAAAAAAAGAGTTTAAGTGGAATTTTAAAAAGCTAAATATCTCTTCCTTTTCAGATTGGGCCAGCTATTGCACTTTACCCTTAAAATAAATACCATCACACAAGCAAGATGATAAATTCAAGTTGGCCATAGATGGTTTGGAATTTTAAGCAAAATATAATTATTTAATTGTCAGTGGTCTTATTTTAGATTATACCAGAAATTGACTGATTGGCATGTTTTAATGTTAAAATGAAAGTTTAGTTCTACATAGTGACAATAAAGAGGTCATCCTAGAAACTCACCTATAGTTTTGAATACTAACCACACTTTAAACATAGACAAAGAATTAAACTGTTGAATTTAATGTTTAATTTAAATTCACACATTTAAGATCATTCTACGTACGAAATATTGTTCGTTATATTCTACTCACTTCTCTGAAACAGTATTATTCAAATTCTTGCATCTTTGATATTATGTCCTAGCAGTAAGAGACACCTTTACATTTTATTTATTTTTTAGAGACAGGGTCCTCAGCGTCCCCAAAGTTCAGGGAATTACAGGTGTGGAGCCCACCATTCTAGCCTAAGAGCCACTTTTAAAAACCATCTTTTACTAACAGAAGTAAACCACTAGAAAATTGTCATGTTAAGTGTAATTCAAAAGAATTTTAATAAATAATTTACAATCATTCGAACCATGACCACCATCCATTTTTAGAACACTTACCAAGCTCTAAAAGATCCCTGATGTGTGGCGTGTTTGTGGTTCCCCTTAGCCTTCTAAAAAGAATACGATCATACCTTGTTCTATGATTGTGCCTTTTCTGGTTTTGTCATATAAATGGGATCATATGGTATGTGGTTCCTGTATCTGGCTCTTCTTGACTTCAAGCATGATGTTTTGAAGTAATCATCGTTGTACATGTATCAGTACTTCATTCTAGCTGATTACAGCCACCCAGGCTAGAGTGCAGTGGTGTCATCATAGCTCACCGAACTGTGAACTCCTGGGCTTGAGCAATCCTCCTGCCTCAGCCTCCCAATTAGCTGGACTATGGCCATGTGCCATTATACCCAGCTAATTTTTAAATTTTTGTAGAGATGGGGGTCTTGCTATGGTGCCCGGGCTGGTCTCAAACTCCTGGCCTCAAGTGATCCTCCCTGCCTCGGCTTCCCAATGAGCTGGTATTACAGGTGTGAGCCACCACATCTGACCAAGAGTGGCTTTTTACTTCCATTTTACAGAGGGGACAAAACTGACCAGAGAGAGTTCTGAGCTAGGAAGAAGTATCTGGGATTGGTTATATTTGTGAATATTTATTTTAAAAAACGTTTGTGAAAGATAAAGTCAGAATATCAAAATATCTTAATATTTTTATATTTCCATACACCACTCCCATTTGAAGGCCTTATTAGCTTACATAATGAGGAATGACATCCACTGTATTTGGGAAGGTGTATTTAAGAATCTCCCTCCCAAAAAGAGAAGAGTAGGACTGGACTCCCTGCCAATCGGCTTAGTGGCATTATCCCTCACATTATAAAGAGTCTCTGTTTCCCTTGGGTAAGGTAGAATTTACAACATTAATCCAAACATGGTGGTTGTTTACCAGCTTCTTGGAAATAAAACATTTAAAAAGACATTGGGCTGGGTCCTGTTCTGACACTAAATGCCCATAATTCCAGGATTTAGAGGGCTCTTTGGGATTGGTAATGTGAGCTCTGATTCTTCTCAGTCTCCCAAGGCTTAGGTCAACCTGCCAACCTTACAGTCTGACATACTCAACTCTTAATTGTCTGGCATGCATGGTGGAGGGAAACAGCATGAATAATTGCAAAATAACCGCTATGGTATGGTACATTTGCACATCCCACCCATGAGTGAAGGTGGTCACGCGTTATGTGAAGCCCCAGATTCCTGTTCAGCTCCTGCGCCTTACCCTTACCCGTGTTGGGGAGAAATGGCTGCAGCCCTTTAGACTTGCCAGCTGTGGCCTGGCTCATGCCCTGGAGGCAGCTGCAAGGGAGGCTTATTCAAAGTTCCTTCCCTTGGCGTTAAAGAAATCATTCATTCTTACCTTATTTTCTTTTAATTTTCTAGACTAGGAACTTATACCTTAAAAAGAAAAGAAGGAAAGAAAGAAAGAAAAACAAAGAAACAAAGAAAGAAAGAGAGAGAGAAAACATGAAGGAAGAAAATGTCTAGGGTGATTGAAATCAAGCTGGATCAGTAAAGCAGGGGTCAAATAGCACAGGGCTGCTGTGAGCCTACTGGCCCCAGGATGGTTTTGAGAGCAGGTAAGTCAGCTCCTTGTGTGCTATTTTCCTTCCTAAGTAGCAGGGCCCCTCTGAGTGAAGCTGTGCCTTTTTTGTTTTCCTTAGCAAGAGATGTGCGACTTCCCAGTGGAGTTTAGGATTAGAATTTACCTTGGAATCTGTGGAGGGGAAATTAGCAAGGCCTTTTGTTCAGATTCTTCTCTGTGACCCTGTGTTCTCAGAGATAAGAATAGTCCTGTCCTCCAGGTACAGGGAAGGCATCTCTCTTTTTTTTTTTTTCTTTGGCTGGCAATTGGCTGAGAGAGTTAGAC